ATTAGAGAATGTCCCATCTCTCAATTGTACAGGAAATATTTTTAATTCATTAAAAACTATTTGCATTTACCGCATTGCTGCTACTGACACTAACGCACAAATGGACAAATGTAGAAAAATAATTAAGAAATGGGCGTAATTGTTGAAACTTCACTCCTACAAGGATTACTTTACGGCGATGTCAAAAATTAAATCGCTGATTTGTGTAGGATACCAGTTTCGAAGAAACCCGGATTTTTAGTACCGGATACCAATTTCCAGACCATAATTTTTCTTATGGTTATTTTAAAAATGAAATTGGTTTTTTGTACCGGTTACCAATTTTAAAAAATTCGAAATCTTAGTACCAATTTTGTGAAATTCAAAGTGGTCCCGCCCAGTTTTTTAAATTAATTAAACAAATAGTTTTATTGTTTTGCTCATATTAAATAGCGAATCATTAAAAATTGGTAATTCGCAAGTTATTTAGATAGTTCTTGGGTGTAAGAAGAAACAGCGCGACCTGAATCGTATCTCTTGAAGAAAGAGTCGCTCACCCAGTATGTCCAAGATACCTTCGGCTCCTTAAAGGGTCTTGGTATGCGAATTCTTTATAACAAAGGGGTCGACCATTGAAGCTTTGAGATGAATCAATCTCTGCGTGGCCAAACCCTGCCAGTAACATAGAATATGCTCTGAAGTTTCATGATCTTCAAGGCCGGCATTCCGACTCAGTGGTCACATATATTCGGTGCAAGTGTAATCACAAGCGGTTGTGACCAGACAGGTACTCCGAAAGTAGCCTGATGTCATTTCGGTTTCCTAAAATAATATTCTTTGTTTTGAAAGGGTAGCCGAAGAGCCTGGCCTGTCTATGGCAGTACTTACTGCGTTCAGAGTGTACCCACTCAGTAATTATGGCTGTCGAAGGGCACCAACTGAGACCACAGAATGGTTCAGGTCCCGAAAAACAGTTAACGATCCTTCTCGTGCCTTCTCGTCAGCGACCTCATTACCTTCGATTCCACAATGGCTTGGTACCCAGCAGTGTTACCGTGCTTTTGGCTGTCAAAATTTGTCAAAGCAGTCTGTAACCAGCTTAGATTTCATAGTCCTATTTGAAAGGCCCCGGGTGGCTGCTTGGATATCTGAAAAGATAATTAGAAAAGCGCCATTCAAACCCTTTTTAAGGTTTAGTTTTACGCAGTTTAAAATTTCGACTATTTAAGCTTGAAACACCGTGGGCCATTTGGGATCAAGTGCAGGGAGCCCATTTGTCCAATCTTTGCGAACTTTCAGCCAAAGCAAATTTCTTTAGTCATGGCATCAGAAATTCCGCATATTTCCAACCCTGGCAAAAAACCGTGATTAGATAGTCGAAGTTGCGGCTCCCTCGTGCTGCTGTTTCCTGGGTGAAAATGTGGAGAGGAGTCCATCCTAGAAACGACTCTAAAGCCGCCAGTTGAGCGCCCATCTTTGCAGTTTGTTAAGGGGAAGTATGGCAGTTTTTTGCAGCGTCTTCTGCCACCATGCTATTAATGAATAAGACACAATCGAACGGACGATCATACGGTTGAGACACTGTATCAGCCTTGAGGTCAGTCCCATGTTCTTCCAAAAAGTCTTCTGTAAGCCCATATGGCCCGTGTGGATTTAGCAAACGTTCTCTCAAGCTCTAATTTAGTCTCTTATCTAGCGTAATCCCTAGATATTGAACCTCATTGGAGTATTCAAGCACTGTCTTTCCAGTGACCGATCCAAGATTTGGTTTATACCTTGTTGTAAGCGGCGAAAGATCAGTCTTAAGAGGATTTGTGCCGAGGCCATTATTTTCGCACCAGTTTGAGACCACACAAGGAGGAGGAGTTTTCCCGTAACTATAATTTACAGGTCACCTGCGTACCCCACAACATCGTAACTACACTCATGTAGTCTGATTAAGAAGTTGTCCACCAAAAGTGACCAAACTAACCCTCCCTGCGGGTAGCCTCCCACGGCTCTGGTCTTCACTTAAGTATTGCCCACGGACGATGTCATTTCACGCTCACGAAGCATAGCGTCTATCCAACCAACATTAGTAGG